ATCCCAACTTCCTTGCCATGGGCAGGGACATCCTGTCACTACAAACTGTGGTAAAAAGTCTCTCTCCAACTTTCTTACAATTCCTCTTTAAATACTGAAAGGCCATGGCTTTTGAAATATGAGGGAGAATGGCTCGGTAACTACATCAGCCAATTCCCTCAGGACTCTGGGATGCGTCTTGGCAGGTCCCATAGACGTGTACATGTTCAGGTTCCTCAGGTTGTCTCGAACCTGATCTTCTCTTACAGTGGGAGAGACTTTGCTCCTCCAGTCCCTGTCTTGCGGTCCATCCCCTCTAGAGGTGTGGGAAGAGACACTGCCAGTGGGGACTGAGGCAAAGAAGTCATTGAGTACCTCAGCCTTCTCCTCATCTGTTGTTACCAGTTTGCCAGTCTTGCTCTTTAAGGGGAGTACACTTTCTTTGACCTTCCTTTTCTGTCTGACATACCTGTAGAAGCCCTTCTTTTTATTTTTTGCATCCCTTGCCAAGTTCAGCTCCAGCTGCGCCTTGGCCCTCCTGACCCCATCTCTACAAAACCAGGCAGCATCCCTGTACTCATCCCAGGATACCTGTCCCTGCTTCCACTGCCTGTGCATTTCCTTCTTGCCCTTTAGTTTGCCCAGCAGGTCTCCACTCAGCCATGCTGGTCTCTTGCCTTCCTTTCCTGACTTCTTACACCTAGGAATTGAGAGCTCTTGCACTCTATGGAAAGTGTCCTCAAAGATCTGCCAGTTCTGTTCTGCTCCCTTGTCCGTGAGGACAGTTTCCCAGGGGGTCCTATTGACTAACTCCCTGAAGAGCTGGAATTTTGCCTTCCTAAAATTCAGGGTCCTGACTTTACTCTTCACCTGATCCAGATCCCTCAGGACTGTGAACTCCACCAGTGCATGATCACTGCAGCCTAGGCTGCCTCCAGTCTTGATGCCACTAATTAGCTCACATGCATTGGTGACCAACAGGTCCAGTATGGCATCCCCTCTGGTAGGGCTGTCTATTACCTGCCTTAAGAAGTTATGCTCAATGCATTCCAGAAGTCTCCTGGATTGCCTACAGCTCACTGTGTTACTTTTCCAGCAGATGTCGGGGTGGTTAAAGTCCCCTAGCAGGACGAGAGCCTGTGAGTGCGATGCCTCCTGTAGCTGGAGTAAGAAGGCTTCATCAATAGAGTCCCCTTGGTCGGGTGGCCTGTAATAGACACCAACCACAAGGTTCCTTTTGTTGCTGCAATCTCTGATTCCTCCCTATAAGCTTTCAACCTGCTCGTGGCTATTCTTCAGAGACAGCTCTTCACACTCTATTCATTTCTTGACGTAAATGGCAATGCCTCCACCCTTCCTTCCTTGCCTATCCCTTCTGAACAGCCTGTAGCCATTGACAGCCACACTCCAGTCGTGGCATTTGTCCCACCAAGTTTCAGTAATGGCAACTAGGTCATAGCTTTCTAGCAGCACAGTGGCTTTTAACTCCTCCTGTTTGTTGCCCATGCTGCGTGCATTGGTGTAGATGCCCTTCAGCTGGGCTGTCGGCCATGTCACCGTCTTAGAGGAACCACCTTTAGTTCCTTTGAGGTCTTTTCTCTGGTGCAACAGGCTGTGGGCCCTTGCTAGGACCTGGTCCCTCTAAGCTTGGTATGTTGTCCAACAGCTTGTGTGTGAGTCTGATATTATCCCCCTCCCGCTTCTGATATTATCCCCCTTCCCGTTTAGTTTAAAGCCCTGTCAATAAGCCCCACATATGCATGTTTTTCAGGTAGCATATTTTAGAAATATTTTTTCAGTAAATAAATGCTTATGACCACATAAAACACTGTAGCTATAAAATATGTTTTTTTCCAGCAATACTTGTAACTGTTTGTCTACCTTCATTTGCTTTTAACATGCACTGTGTTTCCCCAAGCAAGGGTGACACTCCTTGTGCTACACTTTGCAGCACTTATTCCAGCACTGCCTTATCAAGAGGAGCCTTTCAGCACCCTGTTTCTTTATCTGTTTTGCACAGATTTAAGGCAGCTGAAAGTGAATAAAATTTGGAAGCATTATGCTTTAACTAATATGATCAGCTTCACTAGTACAGAGTGCACTCCAGGCTTGCCTGTATTCTAACATTAAAAATCAGCCTGTATTTTTAAAAACAACAGACACTGTGCAAATGAAGCTGTTCATTTGTTCATTTCATAAGTGTGTAGGGGGAGGGAAGAAGAAAGGAAGTGTTAGTCCAGAGACAGGCCTTACAATACCAGCTGGAGCTTGAAGCTGGTGTCCTTTGGGTAAGGGTTGTTTGCATTCAGTTGGGTTGGAGTGCAGGCAGCATGAACACAAACCTGTCCAAAACATCTCGCAGTCAAACCTGTTGTTTAGTTTTAAGCTACATGTAAACCCCAGCTCAGTCTTAACTTGGCAATTTTAGTATCCTTTCTGTTGTGTGAGGAATCCACTGTGGCTGTTGTTCATATATGGTCATTATTCACACAGACACAGTATCCATGTTCTTATACTTAATTTGAGAAACACAGGAAATAAAATCTCCTGGTCCCTATGAACTGTGTCTCACATATCCTGTGCCCCAAGACAGGAGAATTGTAGATCACTTAGCTTAAAACTTTGATTCCCAGAGGTGTTCTTGTGCTATCTATTAAGGGTCATCTATAGAGTCATCCTGACTATTGTAAAGTTTTTTTTGAAGTCTGATCTGAATCTTGCTCACACTCTTGTCTTTTTCATTCTGGGCATGTAAGTATTAGAATAAATTGTTCTGCAATTTTGTCTTTTGAAACTAATTTTCTTATATTTTTGCCTCATTTTAGTGTTCTGTAGATTAAACAGTCCCAGTTTTTTCAGTGTGTCCTTACAGCTGATATTTTTATATTTTTTATTGGTTTTGTTGTTTCTTCTACAGTATCTCTAATTGATGTAATTTGTCTTGAGATATGATGCTTAAAATGGATGCTCTGCTCCAGCTGCAGCAGCAGTAGACACCCTTCATCTGCTGTATATACAATATGTCTGCTTTATAAATGCCATACACCCAGAAGTTTTTCGTAACAGTAGGATACAGACTCACGCTCAGCATGTGGTCTGTGATAACCCCCAAATTATATTCTATGCACTGGTTGCCAAGCCACTATTGTATTTGTGCCACTTACTATTCCTACTTACCTGCTGTTCTTCATAATTCAGAAAAAGCAAATGCATTTTCCTTATTTCAGACCTCTTACCCAATTTGTCAGCATCCTTTAAAACTTCAGGGGTCTCTAGAGCACGCAGTCCCATCAGGTTGGTATTGGCAGCATGTTAATAAGCACATTGTCATGTTATCCAAGTCATTGATGGGAATACAGAACAGTGTTTGACCTTGGGCATTCAGTGCAAAACCTCAAACCCCACTTGAGTTATCTTTTTTGATTTGATAGGGTGCAGTAGCACCTGGAATACAGTTTTCTAACCAGTTGTGCATTCATATGGCTGTTACCATCTAGATCAGGTTTTTGTAATTTGACTATTTCAATGTCGTATGAGGTTCAAAAACATTATCAAATCAAGATCTGTCATATTTACAATTTCTTCTTTTTCCGTAAGGCTAGCCTAACCATCTGAAAAAGGAAATTGTGTTGTTCACAAATCCATGCTAGCTGGATTTATTTTTTACATTCTCCTACAGTCTCAGAGTTTGTTTTCAGTGTTTTTCTGGGAATAAAAGTTAAGCTAAGTGGTTACAATTCTCTGCATCCTTCTTTTTCAGGGTAGATGCTGTTTATCTTCGGTCTCTTGTGGCTGCTTGTACTGGGTCTGGCCAGGATGGAGTTAATTTTCTTCATAGCAGCTCCCTATGGTGCTCTATTTTAACTTTGTGACCAAAACAATACTGGTAACACACTAATGTTTTAGCTGTCGCTGAGCAGTGTTTGCACAGCATAAAGGCATTCTCTTGTTTCTCACTCTGCCCCCCCAGTGAATAAGATTGGGAGTGTACAAGAGGCTGGGAGGGGACACAACCAGGCAGATGACTTGAACTAACCAAAGAGATATTCCATGCTACCTAATGTCATGCTCAGCAATAAACAGGAGAGGTGGTGGTGCTTAGCTGCCCACTAGGGCTAACCCACAATAGTCCCGATATTTCCAAGATGTATTTACTGGTAGTACCACCATGGCGCTAGTTAAAAACACATTCTTTATGCTGTCCTGCTTCAGTAAGATAGTCTTCAAAATAGTGGGTTTTTTTTCTTACCGTGTTAATGTCATGTTTTAGGGATTTGGGGTATTGGAGTTGCAACCCAGAAAGCAAACTTGAATCAAATTCCACTTGGTCGAGATGTCCATAGCCTGGTGATGAGGAATGATGGAGCTCTCTACTATAACAATGAGGAGAAAAATAGACTACCAGCAAACAATCTTCCTCAGGAGGGCGATGTGGTGGTGAGTTTCTTAGCTGTTCCCAGATTCCTCTTATTTACAGCTCTGTGGTCGGGCTGACCATTTTGGTCAAATTGTTTGGCTTGCATCTCCCAGTTTGGAAAGTGCTGATACAAACTCCCTGCGGTCAGTTGACCCTGGCTGGGCATCAGGTGCCCACCAAAGCCGCTCTGTCACTCCCCTCAGCTGGACAGGGGGAGAAAAATACAACTCCCTGGGCTGCAGGTGGAGATCTGCTCCAGCGTGGAGCTCCATGGGCTGCAGGGGCACAGCCGGCCTCACCATGGGCTTCACCAGGGGCTGCAGGGGAATCTCTGCTCCGGCGCCTGGAGCCCCTCCTGCCCCTCCTTCTTCACTGACCTTGGTGTCTGCAGGGCTGTTTGTCTCACATATTCTCACTCCTCTCTCTGGCTGCAGTTGCTGTTGCCGGTTTTTTTTCCCCTTCAGGCGCTGCCATCATCGCCGATGGGCTCGGCCTTGGCCAGCGGCAGGTCCGTCTTATAGCCAGCTGCACCGGCTCTGTCGGACACAGGGGAAGCTTCTAGCAGCTTCTCACAAAAGCCACCCCTGCAGCCCCCCTGCTACCAAAACCTTACCATGCAAACGCAGTACACTCCCCTTCTGTTGAATGGATCAGCAGCCTGAATACCAGTGGGCTTCATTCTCAAACATATCTTCATTGATATGTTTCTGAATCAGAGACAGATTTTACCAGTGTTTGAAAAGTAGCTTCCAATGTTCTGTTGCAGTCTGGTTGCAGTATCTACCTGACAGAAAACTCCCATCACAAGGATCCTGCGTTGTTTGAGATGGGACCTTACTGAACAAATAATGTGCTGGAATGCATTACATAGCTCCATGCCCAGCTGAACTCAAGATCCCGTAGCTAACTGGTTAATGATTAGAAGAACAGAGCTGAGCAGAGAGAGGTCCTGGGTGACAAATTAATTGTATTTTTAGCCAAACTTTTGTAGGCAAGGAGAGATACTAAGTGGAGAGGGGGTAATGCTCACTGGGAAAATGATGTAGAATGAGAGCAAATGGAGAATCTTAAGATTACTATTCCAGGTTTCTCAAAACATCTTTAAGTTACTTTTCTTAAAGGGTTGTGTTTTATTGCTGTCGTTTTCTCAATGTCCTGTTAGAGATCTATTTTCAAAAATACATGGGAGTAATGCAATGAAATTTAGACCTTTTATCACCACTACCTTTTTCTTACTGGGTAACCTTGCCTCTGTATAGCAATAGTCAGAAATTTCATCCATAGAAGCCCCAAACAGCTAAGATTGACTCTTCCACCCTTTACCCTCAGACACTACATTATTCTTTTAATCCCTTTCTGAAATGGTTTTCGTGGAGGGTTGTGGGCTGTTTCAGGGTTTGGTCAACCTATGTAGTCTGCACAGCTTCAACTAATCACAGAAAAGTAGCTGATGTGTTACTGCTAACTCCCCCGTTTTCATAAGCTTCAATTTATTTTGTTTTGTCATGAAAATAGATCTCTGAGTAGTGTATGACAACACAAATTGTCATACTCGGCCATACCAGAAGTCAGTAATTTATTACATTTTTAGTGTTTGCTTTCTAATCTGTAGCAGCATATTTATAGCATTGTATATGAAACCATGGTCTGTTGCCGCTGGTGGAGAAAATGAGCTGAGAGAGGTTTCCGCGTGGAACTACGGACAAGAAACTTAATTCATAGCATAATTATTTATTAAAGTGATTTCCATGAGGAGTTACAAACAAGAAGACTGTGAACTGCTTAATATTCAAAAATAATTCAAAATTTTGTATTTCTTTAACATGGTGAAGAATAGTTTGGATATTTGTTTTGTAAACTGGATAAGATGAGGTGCGCAGTACTGTGCTGCATCCAGATTGTATAAGCGTTAAAGAATCCTGAGTATTTGAAAATACAAATGTTACTGGTCATTTATTAACCTCTAGTCCTCTGCAGGCATATTTCAAGTGAGGTTTTCTAGGATGCTGTGGTTAGCATAATGGTGTTAAAATTTGCCTGTGGCTAAGAAAGCTAAATTAAGTAGCAACCTTATGTGTATAAACTTCTTGATGCTTTTTTTTGTTAATTTTCTGTACTTTGTAGGGCATTACATATGACCATGTAGAATTAAATGTATATTTAAATGGGAAGAACATGCATTGTCCAGCTTCAGGAATCCGAGGGACTGTCTATCCAGTGGTCTATGGTAAGTCAGAGATTTTCAAGCTGTTTCACAATGTTTTTGTATCAAGTCTGTCTTGTGAGCTATGTATTCTTCTCACTTAAATGGAACACTTATCAGTGATTCATTTTTGGCAACTACAACAATATATTGCATGAAAATGCAAACCTAGGAAAATACAAAAGTATATTTTCACCTCATTTTTAATGCTGCTTAATAGCGAGGAAAAAAAGCACTGCTTACTGACTACTTACTGTGTCCACGTCTGACGTGCTGGAGAGTTACTGCACTCAGTCTAAAAATTTCCAGGTAAAAAACCTGTGAAGCAGATGGAAAAAAGTAAACCAACAAATTTGAAGTAATGGAGACTTGTGGCCAATCTGATTTATCTCTGAAGCTTGGTATTTATGCCTATTAATTTCACATACTTCATAAATGCATTCAGTGTTAAATATGAATAGATACTGAGTTGTTGTTTGTATTTTCTTATGGAAGTAATAACTTTAATGTAGTACTAGTACAGCTGCTTGCTGTATAGTGGTACAGCTCTTTGCTGCTATACCACGTTGATGCCCGGTTTTGAAATCCAACAACTGGTGAGTGAATTGTGGTAGCTGTTTTGCCAGTAACCATCAATACAATGCAGCAGTTTTGAAGGAGAAACAAATACCATATCCAATTAATGCCTGCATAGGCAGTTTAAGAAAGAATTTATGAATTATGGAAGCTGGAATTTGGCCAAGGCATGTGTTAACAATTTACTCTCCCAGAACTTCCCAGTGGTTTTGTAGTTCCCAAGTAGTCAGAATTCTGTTTAACATCTCATCTGAAAGGCAGTGCTTCCCCTCACTCAGTGGGTCATCAATGCTATGCTCTGGGTTGGCTTGTAACTTGGAGCAAACGGTAACTGCTCATCGGATTCCCAGTGTTACACCTCCAGCCATCTCCAGTTTATCTTTATTCCTGTGAGAGCTTCATCTAAGTAGTAGCCTCCTCCAAAATAATTTTGCTCTTGAGACACGGTTAGCTATGTGACGTGGATAATTGTTTCATTTCTTCGTTGGTTCCTAATGAACTGTTGGCATGTTCCCATTTATATCTTGATACATTTGTAATATTGAATTTCACGAACATGAAGAAAACACCCTAGATGTGTTGTAGAGCCTTTGCAGTCTATAAATGTAGCTGACAAATTATATCTTTCCAAGCTATTAGAGTGGAAATCGTTTTATATGGTCATTTTGTGATGTGTTCTTAAGCCACGTGATGGCGCTGGTAAAATGCTGTGGCAGACCAGCAGCCCTGCAGGACTGCCGGAGCTCCTGGTGCAAGAACCTTGAGCAGCAGGGAGAGAGTTGCTGTGCAGTAATTGATTGTTGCATCTTCCCTGTATTTTGGAAATGGTGTTAAATACCCCGGAGGATGCAGGTTGCTTTCAGAAAACGTTTGGTGGCATCTTAGCCTACTGTAAATATCTTTTTCTCTGACTAACGAAGTTCTGTGCCTGGGGATTGCAGTGACCTTTTACTGCCAGGCTCTTATCATCTTCCACAAGTGGGCATAATTTAATTGTAATTATCATGTCTGCTACATAGAACTTGAATAATTGCAGTCTGCAAATTGCTTTTTCATGGTACTTACTTGGTATAAACTTTTAACTATAAATGTCCTTAAATTATTGTAAACTTCTTTTAGTCATGTGAAAGGATTTGACCATAGAGAAGAGAGTTTGCTAAGTGTTTACCCTATCCACAATTCAGACTAGAACTATAGGTGTCTTTTTAAAAGAAACATGATAGAGCAGGCAAACACGGTGTCAGGTCTGAGAATGTAAAACAGAAAAGTGGACTTAAAGGTTGCTCCCTACAGCAGCTGTACCTCAGGCACTTTTGCAGAAGTGAGATATAAACACTGCATACGTAGTACAGAACTGTACAAATATTCTAATAGAAGTTTTAACTGAGCCTAGGAGGGAAAAATTCCTACCTTGGTGATGAGATATCTAAATTCCAAACCAAAATCTGGAGATGAAGCTTTTCTGTTTTGATCTAATGTTGCTAGTGTACCAGGTTCGTCTTGGCAGAAGTTGTCTTTGAAAGAGATCTTGTTTTTCTTACTGGTTGGGTGTCTCAATTTGCTAATGCAATACATGAAAGCTTTGCTCTGAAAATCCTCAGCAGTTTCTTTTTTATATTCTACATAAAAGATAGTAACACCTGTGTCTCAGATTATGCAGGGGATCCAAAACTGGGAGAGGTATTGCAAAAAACCATTAACTTCCAACTTAAAGAAGCAGTCAAAGAAGCTCTCTTTGGGTCACATGCTAAAACAGATGGTCTGACACCAACCATTGCAGACATCTGAAACCTTGTAAACCTCCAGAAGAATCATTGCAGACAGCTGACACTCCAGCAGAATTAGGAAGTGGACAGAAAAATATGCAGCTGAGGAGGTGACAGCCCTGCAATGTGTATTGGAGTGTCCTTAATCTGTAGCTGTCCATAGAAAGAGAGTAGAAAATTTGGAGGGCATTACCTGAAGCCCTGCAAATGCTCCCAGTGAAGTCAGAGGCAGCATTCTCGTTGACTTCACCAAGTACCATTACCGAATAAAGTAAACAGCAGAAAAGAGAGATGATGTGCTCTCCTTGGGTATGTGTGTAGGACTTCAGCAAATTTGTTGAAGAGATTTCTTTTAATTGTATTGTATATATCTAATGGATGTATTGGAGAATATTCTTCATGGTTTGAGCATAGTACATAATATAATAAAAAGGTGTAATAGAAGATTAAACTGTAAGTGGTCCTTCTCTAATTCCTTCTGTTTGGTTCTCTTCTGCAGTTGATGACAGTGCCATTCTGGACTGTCAGTTCAGTGAATTTTATCATACACCTCCACCAGGGTTTGAAAAGATCCTCTTTGAGCAGCAAATCTTCTGAATGTCTTCATACCGAAAATTTGCACCCTGCACTGTTACAAAAGCTTTGTCATCTTAAATAAAGCTTCACATTACTTTTGGGAAATATATCTGTATTTTTCGTAAGTACTTGTGACTGTTGTCTGCAGAATTAGTATGTTAACTGCAACACCAGGTAACTGTGTTGCAAATACAAGATTTCTGACACTGTTTTGTGGCAGGGTTTTTCTCTGATTTGTACTTGATGCATAAGGAGACTAAGGGATATTATTGACATCAGTATTACATTCAGTATTTTGAATAAACTCGAGCTCTGTAAAGCCAGTAGTCCTTATGCATATGATAGCTATGGAGATGGATAGTTCTTATGATTTTCTTTCCCAGCTTTTTTCACACAGAAGTTTTTTCACACCTTGTTTAACGGAAGCACTGTGTTTCTAGTCTGTGATTTGGAGTTGTGATGTCCCAGTAGTGCACAATGACTAGTAATACGATGGCATAACTAGCAGCCAGGTACTTTGGGGTTTTGTTTTGTTTTGTTTTTTTTCCCAAGGTGTAATTTAATCAATTTCCTCAATCTTAGAGTGACAAGTATAACTTATCTATTTCTCCTAGCTTTTCATTTGCTTTAATTGTGATAAATAACAGGACACTATTCTAGTAATGTCTTTTTGTTGAACCTCAGAAAGTAAGCCTGAACACTACCTGTGTTTTTGAGGACCACTGCGCTGTGTTATTCTGGTAGGAGAGTAGGTACAGATCACTCAACTTGGGTATGCAAAGTGCCAGGTGAAGGGTATGAGATGTTACGGTGAAGCCTTACATCTAAACTGTAAACTAGATTATTCTTTTATGGAATATCATATTTAATTTCTTTGTGAATCATTTATAAATGATTAATGGCTAAGACATTGTTCTAAAATGTGATGCCCTTGGATATAAATTGTGAGATGCTTTTTTCCCCTCTTGTCATGTTTAATATACTTCCTAGAAGAATTTTATTGTAAAGAAAATCTTCATACTGGATGTTTGTTTTTTGGTTTTGGCTTTTCCTGGGTTAACGCATTTGCATAAATTAATGATTTTATTTAAATATTTTTTAAAATTATCTGATTCTGAAATTTTCAAATACAAACAGCTTTCTGAAAGCCTTTCACCTTATGATTTTCTGCATCTGTCTTTTCATTCTGAGTGGCCTGTGTTTTCCTTCCCTTTAGCCTTGCTGTCACATGACAATGTTGGGTAGAACTTTTCAACCTGAAAGGAATGATGCCCTTGTCAGCATTATGGTACAAAGCTCAGGAGATTAGAGTGCAGTTTTATCGACTCCTCTTGAAATCTGCTGTGCTTTGCTGTGGTCAGATATGTAACTGAAATTATACTAGGCATTCATATGTTTCATTTCAGTTTCTCCAGTAGATGTTTCAAGCTGTTTTCCCCAGTAGACGTGGCAGCACCTGTCCCTGCTAGGGCAGAGGCTCCGGCAGCGGGTTGACCCTTGTTGGATGCCAGGTGCCCACCAAAGCCTCTCCTCTCACTGCTGGAAAGGCTCGTGGGTTGAGATAAGGACAGGGAGATCATTCAGTGATTACTGTCACAAGCAAAACAGACTTGACTTGGGGAAAATTAATTTAATTTATTACCAATCAAAATCAGAGTAGGGTAATGAGAATTAAAACCAAATCTTAAAACACCTTCCCCTAACCCTTCCCTTCTTCCTGAGCTCAACTTCACTCCCCATTTTCTCTACCTTCTCTCCCTGAGTGGCACAGGGGGACGGGGAATGGGGGTTGTGGTCAGTTCATCACACCTTGTCTCTACCGCTCCTTCCTCCTCAGGGGGAGGACTCCTCACACTCTGCCCCTGCTCCAGCGTGGGGTCCCTCCCACAGGTGACAGTCCTCCACGGACTTCTCCAATGTGAGTCCTTCCCACAGGCTCCAGTTCCTCATGAGCTGCTCCAGCCTGGGTCCCCCCACAGGTGCTGTCCTTCAGGAACAGACTGCTCCAGCGTGGGTCCCCCACGGGGTCACAAGTCCTGCCAGCAACCCTGCTCCAGCCTGCGCTCCTCTCCCCACGGGGCCACAGGTCCTGCCAGGAGCCTGCTCCAGCGTGGGCTTCCCATGGGGTCACAGCCTCCTTCGGGCATCCCCCTGCTCTGGTGTGGGGTCCTCCCTGGGCTGCAGGTGGAGATCTGCTCCCCCATGAAGCTCCATGGGCTGCAGAGGCACAGCCAGCCTCACCATGGGCTTCCCCAGGGGCTGCCGGGGAATCTCTGCTCTGGCGCCTGGATTTTCTTCACTGACCTTGGTGTCTGCAGGGCTGTTGCTCTCACATGTTCTCACTCCTCTCTGGCTGCTGTTGCTGTTGTGCAGCAACTTTTTCCCCTTCTTAACTCTGCTCTCCCAGAGGCGCTGCCACCATCGCTGAAGGGCTCAGCCTTGGCCAGTGGTGGGTCTATCTTGCAGCCGGCTGGCATTGGCTCTATCGGACCACGGGGAAGCTTCTATGCGGTTCTCACAGCAGCC